TTTTTTTATCTATAATAAATTCAAATTCAAAATTAGGTAATATTATTTCATAATTAAATGGTTTTTTGTTTATTTCATTTATATTTTTTAATTTTTTTTTTATCTATAATAAATTCAAATTCAAAATTAGATAATATTATTTCATAATTAAAGTATTTCTTTTTCTATGCTATTGATATTTTTTATTTCTTTTTTTTTTATATTTATGATTAGAGAAAGTTTGTAGAATATAAAAGAATTAATGAAACAAATCGTAGTCATATATTAAAATTTTTTAATAATATTCATTCGTACAAAATAATTTATTCGAAAGTTTTTACTCTAAATGCACTTTTTATGACATAATGATATATACGTGAAAGTTTATTATGGTCGGTGACCCGATCGAAAATAACTTTGAAAATAAGTTTGAGAAAGTAATAGACTCATATATATATATATATATATGGTAAACCATTCTTAACACATAGAAAAAAAAAAAAAGAGAGAAAAAGTGAAAGAGAAAGAGAGAAACATAAGTTAATCACACATAAGAAATCACCCGGTATATCACATTTTTGTAAACGTAACAATAAAATACACCAATTAAATTACCTATGACAAATAACAACTTAACAAATAATAATAATAATAATAATTTCCGATAATTAAGTTAACCTTTTTTCAAATCGTTGGACACGATCTCAGAAACCTTTTTCAACCTAAACCCTTCTGAAAGGTAAACTTTCGAGAAAAAACAAACAAACAAACAAACGTAAACGTAAACATAAACGTCAGGTAAACTAATTAAAAAGCGTGTAAAATTAACTCGTCAAAGAATCGTTCAGAAACATTCAAACGAAATACTTTCTCTCTCTCTCTCTCTCTCTCTCTTTCTCTCTTGTTCTTTTTCTTTATATATGTATGTGTGGGTATACGTCAGACCGTTATTTTCTAACACATTCCCCTAAAAGGGTTGAGAAGAAAAGTTTAAAGTTATTTAGGTCGAGATAACGAGGGAAGGTATATTTTTGCTCTCTATATGTATATATACATATATATATATATATATATGTATATGTGTAGGTGTGCATTTACAAAGGAAATTTCACATAGTTAGTTCAATATAAAACACATACAAGTTTGTTATATATATATGTGTGTGTATGTGAGTGTGTGTACACGTCTCTCGATAAATGAAAAACAAAGATAATAGGCGTGGTCTCTTTGTGAAGAATTTTTTCTCGTTAAAAGTAAGAAATTCTATTTTAACAGAAAAATAATGGAAATCATTTTTTTTTTTTTTTTTTAATTTATTTCTTCTCCTCCTACACCCCCTCCTCCTCCTCCTCCTTTCTACAAATAATATTACATAATTTATTTTATTTTATTTTTGTACACAAAATAAGACACATTTATTTACCATTGGATTTTAGTTCAACTTTAGTTTAATGAACCTTTTCATTTTTTATTTTTTATTGAATATTTTCTTCCTCCTCCTCCTCTTCCTCCTCCTCCTCTTCCTCCTTCTCCTTTTTTCTATAAATAATATCGCATAATTTATTTTATTTTCCTTTTATGTTTTTTATTTTTCTACACAAAACAAGACACATTTATTACCCTTTGAATTTCATTTCAACTTTGACTTATTAAACTTTGGTTTCTTTTATTTTTTATTTTTTATTTATTATCTTATGGTTTTTTCGTGTTTTTCAAAAATACTAAACTCATAATATTAGATGTAGTTAGATAATAATAATAGTATATATATATATATTTTTTCTTTTGTCTCTTTTCGATGCTACCAACATATATCAGGATGTAAGTGCAATACGTTGAGCATATTAATGCATTCGTGAAACTATTTTCTCTCTCTCCATTTTATACTCTCCCCTCTCCTTCTTCTTCTTCTCCTCCTCCTCACTTTCCTATACCCAATTTCTGTAGATACATATATACCTATATACAGTATTACGTATATATGTGTGTCTCAACAGAGTACACATAACCGATGTGTACTCTGTTGTGTATATGTAATGCAAATAAAAAAAAACAAACAAAGAATTATTATGTTTTCAAAGTATTTCATTTTTTAATAAATAATATTGAGCACAAGATTAAAATCAAAATTTTCTATTACAATCTCTCGTTGTTGTAACGGAATTCTGAAAATGATCAATGAGATAACGACACACCTTAATTCACACAAATGTTGTAATACATTTCATTATGATTTATATATATATATTTAATTTTTATAATACTTTCTCGATCGTGGCTTTTCGATAAGGTTTTTACTGGAATTAAAGCAACGGTGTAATAATTCAAAAAGCAATAAATTTGTTTTGTTTGTTTTCAAAAAATAAAAATACGAAACAACATTTGAACAAAAATTACAATAAAACAGGTCATAGTTTAATCCTTTCGCTACGAGCGTATTTTCCGTGGTGCTACTTCTACTGTACGGGCTGCTAATAATACGTGCAGCAGCATCGAAATTGCAATTTATTTTTTAAGTAATTTTGTTGTTGATATTAACGATTTTTAAACTAAAAAAATAAACAAACAAAACCGTAAAATTACACGTCCAGAGTGGAATATTTGACGTGCTATAGCTGCATATGTTCATCATATGTAAAATACGTGATATTTTATGGAGAGCCACTATAGTGGCCCTTAGTATCTCAATGACATCTTATGAAGAGCCACTATTGTGGCTAGAGTATCTCAGTGGCATTTTATGGAGGGCCACTATAGTGCCCCATAGTATCTCAATTGCATCTTATCAAGAGCCACTATAGTGCCCCATAGTATCTCAATTGCATCTTATCAAGAGCCACTATAGTGGCCCATAGTATCTTAATGGCATCTTATGGAGGGCCACTATAGTGGCTCATAGTATCTTAATGGCATCTTGTGGAGGGCCACTATAGTGGCTCATAGTATCTTAATGGCATCTTATAGAGGGCCACTATAGTGGCCTGTAGTAGCGAAAGGGTTAAAATTCCAAAAGATTACGCCATTGACATCGATACGAATTTGTGAATAACATGGTGTGAGGGTGGTTAGGGGGAGGAGGGGTTAATGGGGGAGGTGTAGCATTACGAAATGAACATGTTAGTTAAACAAGGGAGAAAATATTATTTGATATCGATTTTCTTTCTACGAATATAAAGGTCTCTACTTATTGTATATATATATATATATATATA